AAGAGTAGATGAGAGAGAAAAGTTCACAAGCAATGATTAGGGGAGGCAATAAAGTAAGAGTAGATGAGAGAGAAAAGTTCACAAGCAATGATTAGGGGAGGCAATAAAGTAAGAGTAGATGAGAGAGAAAAGTTCACAAGCAATGATTAGGGGAGGCAATAAAGTAAGAGTAGAAGAGAGAGAAAAGTTCACAAGCAATGTTTAGGGGAGGCAAGAGAGAAAGAGTAGAAAAGACAGAAGAGTTTCAAGCCAATGCTATGGGGTCAGGCAAGTCAAAAACTCTAGATTCCACAGTGGAATTGAGGGGAACCATCAAATATGAGATAATGGATTAATGTTGTATTGATTGGGAAGGGTTCTGTTTATCTGTTAATGACTTACCAGACATCCCGTCAACACTGAATAAGTTAGATCATACAGGGCCATACAGCAGATACTAATGCACATTTTGCAAGGAAAGACAATGAGTTTAAATAGTTGCAGAAAAAGTATGAAACCTGAAAGCGGCCTTTGTAAGTATTAAATGTTGTACCAGATAAAATGAAGAGAAATAAAGTTAAAGCTATATAAGCCAATGACATCCTTAAATACCTCCTGGTCATCCATTTATTTGTGCCTTAATCCTGGAAAGAAAATCATGAGAACGGTATGTTTGATAGACCTGTGAAACTACATCATTACAATGTTGAAAGTTATGAACAGAAGGAAACATGGAGATCTAAAATATACATATGTTGTCAAAATTTATAGAAATATTACAGTTCACATCTACTTAAAATAGGTTTCACATGAATATATGCTGTAGTTTTAATGATATTGTATAGTTTCATTGAATTTGGCTTGAAAGATCAGGAGCAGCCGTCTCACCCAAGACTTTACAAAGATGGGTATAGCTATTCCACAAATAATTGGACGACAGGAAATCATTTTGTGCTCGCACAATTACACAAGTAACTACTAGTATGTACAAATTTTCCAACAGCATAAACCAATCCTTTCACCCCTATGAAACTTTAGTAGACTCTACCATACATTGATATGGATGAGTCCATTATGGTCTACAGTGGTGAAAGGGCTAAAGCAAGAAACCTGTGTATAGAAAGAACACTTGGCAAGTTAGATGCAGTACATATGTGAACAGTCAGCTGACCAATTCATTTTTCTCAAAATTTTTGAGACATGACAGGAAGGGTCATTATAGATCCACCAAAGTAGTGAGCATTACAATCAACCAAATAAAGAAGAGGAACCATGACCGAGGAAAACAAGATTAAAAAGACAATCTGGAAATGGATTCTGATTGTTACACAACACTAACTGTACATAATATTCTGCACAGCGAAATCAATTTGATATACTGACAGATCCCTGAAAAAGAAATCAACCATAAAAGCTTTACAATGATTCAGCTAAAGTTAAATAAAACATTCTTTATTCCCCATCAAATCTACTTCGGCATCAGAATGTCCAATGCTGTCCCATTCATTTGAAGAGCAAGTTCAAAACACACAATGTCAAATGCCACCATTCAGATTTTTAGGATTCTTGTTTCGACTCGATTGTGCTCAGATGTTAAAATGAAGTCCCGAGTTGACAGATCCGTGAGACCCTGACGGTGTTTCGCTACAGGTTGACAGACTTGGCCCTCCAAACAGCGGAGGGCGGACATGTCCATTCAGTAATTCCGTCTTCTCATTTTCTTCAACGGAATCTGAAAGTCAAATCACAAAACAGACATGTTCAAAACCGAATTTTAACAAACAGGTGGCATCATTGATTTAGCTGTATAACTTGGACTGAAATTTTAAACTATCGAACATCATATGGCCAAAGGCTAGGTAATCATTTCAGTTGTATCGGAATATCATCTAGGATATACATCTAAATTCTCCCATTTAAAACGTTATAATCAGACATCAGATTTGACAATCAGAATGCCTGGCCATGTTCATCCAGCTATTTATGATTATGGTGACCCAGCACGGAAACATCGATGTTTATTATTGAATTGGTAAAGTGTTCCCTTTACTAAACATCAGCAAACAGTAAAACTCAAATATACAAATGATCGATGTCTCGACTCTATACCACTGAAAAACGAACCCACTAAACCTCAGTGGACTGAATCAAGTAAAGTGAGCTGTCAAAAATCGTAGACATTTCGCCCAATTGCACTCAATAAGGGGAGGAATGGGTTTTAACAAGTTACCCCCCCCCCCCCTCCCCCTGACTGCCTGCAGTATTCGAGTGCAATTGGGTGAAATGTCTCTATGATTTTTGACAGCTGACTTTACTAGATTCGGCCCACTGAGGCTTTAAGTGAGTAATGTTTTCAAATATACAGTTACAATACGATACAATAAAAAAAAGGGAAAAATGACTTTACAGCGATTCAAAAATAATATATACATGTCAGGGTTACAGAAATTCTGTGTACAATTAAGTGCATACATGCATGTCACAAACAGCTCCTATCAGCTGTATTTATAGGTGATGTGAATTGTTCATGCAAGCATGTGCGCAACGATACTCAAAACTCCCGTGGGTAATTGTTATACATTTAACATTAGTCATTTCAAAGAGACATTTTTATGAGAAGTATGTCAGAAATGAAATGCTCCCCTGTGGATATGTAGCAGATTTATCCCTTCACCTCCGATGTTAATGATTTGTCTATCTGCCTATGTTATGGACATGTTTCAATAGTAAACGAAATGTTATCTATTCGCCAATATAGTTACAGTTATCAAAGCTAATTATTGAACATGTATACTTGTTATTATCAGGACAACATAAAAAGTCGTTATTGATACCACACCACTTTAAAATATAACCTAACTTTACGTTATATGACCCAATAATTTCATATATATATATGTCAGTTTTCTTTACGAGTCAAAAATAACAGCCGACAAAAAATATGTCTGACAAATTATGTCAAAGAATTGTGCTGTCCTTTTGCCTTTTTGTGTGTGTGGGGGAGGGGGGGTGTCACTCTTTATAGCAGATTTCTTTTTCTTTGTATACAGTCATTGGTAGACATGGTTGCCTAGTCTCTTGGCGCGAGACAAAATCTCATTCTGAAACGTGTCTCACATCACGTGAGCTTTAAATCTCAATCATTCGAAAAATGACATGACATCAGAAATGCAACACTTCATCATCACACAAGAGAGGTCACTTTTTAGAGTTCAGAAATGAAAGTGCTAGGGTAGGAAAGATATTGGACAATTTGAGGTGCACCTTATACGACAGGAATATTTTGTCTGGCCTAGTCTTTCCTTAGAGTCGACAGAAGATTTCCTTAGAGTCTAAAGAAGATTTCCTGAGAGTCGACAGAAGATTTCCTTAGAGTCTAAAGAAGATTTCCTGAGAGTCGACAGAGGATTTCCTTAGAGTCTAAAAAAGATTTCCTGAGAGTCGACAGAAGATTTCCTTAGAGTCTAAAGAAGATTTCCTGAGAGTCGACAGAAGATTTCCTAAGAGTCGACAGAGGAACAAGAAGCATAGTACAATAGCACATTTCTCTCTTCTGCAAAAGCTGGGATATAGGCTTATTGTAAGCAGGAAGTTGTTGGCATACGGACGGGTTGGTGTGGATGTATTATAAGTGGGAGGAAATACAGGTCCCAAATGAAAAACTTTTATAAATTTGTGAAAGCATTTGTTTATTTCAACAGAATTGACATTACAATCTAAAATTGGAAGTTTCGAAGTTCCAGCCTGGATTCACCTTGGAGACAGAACATGCCCAAATAAAGGGTATAAAAGGATAAATCGGTGAGACATCAATTAAAGGGTGATCGTCCTCCACCACCCTCCCTGTCGAGGTATTACCACGGAGAAACACAGTCAACTGATGGTATCAAAGCCTTGCCGCCAAACCCTGCCTCCCAAGGGCTATAAACTAAGGCCATTTCTGATAGATGAATGATGATGTCAATTATATTTACAAAACAATGCTGACATTTCAACAGTCTCCTCCGCCTTTGTGTAGGAAATTCCATTTGTAAGCAAGAGTAGGAAATCTAAATAAGGCATATGATCAGATTTACGCAGTTTAGTTCCGACACCAGATGTTTAAATCTTTTCTAACCTTTCTGTCCTCAGAGATTTATAAAAAGCTTGCTGGTAAAAGTTTAAAACACTATCTCCGGACAAAGAACATAGCAACTATGTTTTTATGCAGGAAGGTGAGCTCCAATTTAACTTTTCTGCACCAATTTAGATACTTTTCACTTGTATAGTGCTTACTGAGTACAGTCTGGATTGAGAACATACCATTGAAACTGTTAGAGGTCGAAGATGACAAATATTATGGAAGTAATCAATGTCATTTTACAGATAGGACAGAAGAGAGGCATCAATTCTGACAATTTGTTGAACATTTTGAACTTATACATCAGTACATGTACATAAAGGTAGAAATAGGGGCATCAACTTCAATGATTGGTCAAATTTTTTCTAGAAGTACATTGAATAGTATGAACTACTTCATGATGAATTCGTAATTTTTATGTTGTATTAACTCATCATTCACTCCTGAACTTTCATAATGAACTATTCCATCCTCTGAATTGGAAGAGTTCAAATGTGTCTTCAGGGGTGAATGAGTTAATATTGAATATGAATGCCAACTAAAAGCAGTTTAATGCTTTAGATGCCATCTTTCAGGAAGGGTTAGAGGTAATCATTGTGACCATTACGATTTCAACATATTGATGGTGTCAATTTACAATTGGTCCATGGCATTCTAATGCCATTTGATTATGGTAGGGTTATATAATGGTGTTTACATACAGTGGTAAATATATTACAGTAGAGACAGGAAAAGAGACAATGGTTTTGATGACGTCTCAAAACAATGCAAGGTGTTCATATTAATAATAATAATAATAATTTGAGGTTCTTAAATACCGCTTATCACATCCTAGTTCACAGGTCGTCTCAAAGCGGTTCACAAATTATTATCCGTGGTTGTTGGGCCTTTACAACCAGCCAATACCTTTCTCAACTCCCTGGGGAGCATAATTACAGCCGGAGCTGCCATTTCGGTGCTAACAGCTAGCATTCAACAATTCAAGCACTGCCCAACCATGTACTCATTTACAGCTGAGTAGACTGGAAAAAGCAGAGTAAAGTATCTTGCTCTAGGATACAACACAGTGCCGTGCCGTGACTTGAACCTGCACCCCTTCGGTCACGAGCCCGGCGTCCTACCACTAGACTACTGTGCCTCCTTATTATATTACATAGTATCAAGGAGGAAAGACGGCAAGCATTCCAATGATGTGTAATTATAAGAAGCTGCTACGAGATGAAAAGCCGGACAAACAGGATTGACATGATGCTGCATCTAGGTTGCCAACTCTCACGGCGTGAGACAAAATCTCACGCATTCGTCACGCAGAGACGACCTTACTCACGCATAATCATGTCTCACGCCACTTGAGCCATAAATCTCACGCATTCGAAAATATTCTCCCTCTATCCCATGCGAAGCCATAAATCGGCAATTTTTAGCTTGGGTCGTACAAAGGGGAATAACTCTTATTGCAACGTTGTGCTTTGGAAGTGAGCTGACGCGAGGTGTCGCTTTACATCCGGTGGGAACGAATGTAAATATATCATAAGGTGAGTTGTTTTCACAATCGTCTGCTGGATAACCGAACTCCTCGGTAGTGAAGCGGACGTAAAACCTGTCAATCAATCAATCAAGTTGTTTTCACTCGTAAACTTAATATTGAATACCTATCGCACAGAAAAAGAAAGTTTTACTAATAATATCGTCGTGTATTAGGAAAGATTGTTTTCAGGTCGGGCTTTCACAAATATTAAGAGAAAACGATTATTGAATCACGAACAGACAGTAGCTAATGGATGATGAAAAGTTCGAAGTTATTTTTTGCAGTAAAGGGGCGTATATGATTTAACACACCTGAGACTTGTAGTAATAAACAATTTTTAATCTGATGTGATGAAAAAATAACGAGTTTCGGGAAGTGCTTTGGCATGTTGGATAGACATAGTACGTAGGTAGTCAAATACATAATCATGCAACAAATCGGATTGCAAACGTGGTATAAATGCTAAGGGTCTAACTGTTATTTGTTGCTTAGGATAGTAGCCAGAAGTAATTGTAAAATATTTTTCCACTGTCAAATTATCATATTTTTTTTTATCTTTCATGTTATGAACTTTTTCATGTTACTATGGTAAAGTTCTTACTTTTGATATGAACTGTTATTTTTTTAACAGGTCATGGAAATACAGAAAAAAAGACTGGTACCTGTTCTAGCCAAGGGTGGAATCGTTACAAGAAAGGCCTTTGATTATATGATGTGTTGCATTTCTGATGTCAGTTTTTTTTGTGTGATAAATAAAAATCTTTTATATATCTGCAAAAAATGTTTTGTTTTATTTTCCTACAAAGATCTTGAAGTGAAAATATCAACAATGCAGATGTTATAGTAGTCAGAGAAAGCCAGGATTTGTTCGATACATTTGTAAATGTTATCTTAACACCCAAAACGACGTTACGCCGCGACGCCGTCAAAAGTCTCACACATTGTAAAACCCAGTGGAGGGAGATCGCCCACACTGGACTCCTAAGAGGTTGGCAACCCTGCTGCATAAACCATGGCCATCTGTGGTTGACGTCTGAGACAAGTGGGTGACGGCTGCTACGAGCCTCTTCTACGATCAGGTGAT